CTCCATTTATTGAGCAAATTAAACATCCTTTGCAAATTAATCAGAAGAGTGAGACCTGTCTCTTACCTCAAGCCTCTATCTCTGTATAGTCTTACAGATCTTATGTTCAAGTCTAAACAACTAGAACACTCAAAACCAAGGGTTCAAATCCAAACCAAGTAGTGAAACTCAACGACAGGGGTCAGAGAACTTAGACTTTGAGTATATGTTTAATGAACTTCATGAATGTCATCTCTGTCCCTCACCGTCTGGGATTAGAGATGCTTTTATGTCCTTCTTTTTATTCTTACTTTCCTTTTTCCTACTTGGTTTTAAAACAACAGACACTGTATCACAGTTCTAGAGGCCATGGGTCAGAAATCTAGGCATCAGCAGGGCAGTACTCCCTATGTTGATTGCATAACTCCACTCTCTGCCTGCCTTCAGTTGGCCTCTACTCCTCAGAGATGATTTTCTGGTGTTCCTAGTAATTAAGATCAGAAAGGGGCTAACAAAGTGGGGGGAAATCCCCTGGATATTTTCAGCAATTTAAGAATTTTACAATACAGAAATTATGTCCCAAGAAGCAACATTTATATAGATGTAAAGGCTCTCCTGGTAGGATGGAACAGTGGAAAGGGTATGGAATTTGAAATTAGGAGACTTGAGTTTATACATTGATTCCTTGGCCAAGTCACTCAGCTCCTCTGAGACTGGTTGCTACAAAATAAGCATTCCTCAGTAAGCAAACATTTTTGAGCACCTAAGATAAGTACTGGACTGTGAACTTCAAGGTTGGCAATTGGAGTCCACCAGCCGGTCCGTGGGAGAAAGGTGATTTCTGCTCCTGCAAAGACATTTCTTTTTTTTTAAGGAAAGCCTTGGAAACCCTACACAGAGTAGTTATGGGTTGGAACTGACCCGTAGGCACTTAATAACAACAATTACATGCCAGGAATTTTAAGGTGATTAAATAAACAAAATTGTGCTTATGAGGAACCTGAACATAGACCAAGAAGCAGACATTTGAACAAAACAAGGGGATACGGCATAGTTTAAAATTAGGAAAGTTGTGTACCAGGTTTGTATTCTTTCACCATTCTTACTCAATTCATAGGGTTGTTATGAGTCAGAAACAACTCAATGGCACCTAACAAAAACAAATACTTCTTTTAATCTACATGACAACTCTATGAAACATATCTTTGTGACCATTGTATAGAAGACAAAACAAGTTTATATATTACATAATTTGTCTGACATTGTTAGCTAGTAAATGACAAAACAAATCTAGATCCATGCCTATAGGTGTAACATTTCTGTTAACACCAAAGCTGCATGCCTTGAAAAATTTACTTCCAACAAATGACGTCCATAGAGGGCTTCAAAAGTTTCATGGAAAAGTTTCATCATCTTTACACTCCATTTTTCCATGACCGTCTTAAAGCCCCGTTGTATTAGAACACACTGTGAAGTCCTAGGGCTCTGTGCACAATAAAAGTGCTGGCCCGCTTGCCCGCTACCACATCCTGAATATTCTACATTATGTACCATCCAAAGTCTGCCTGATCTCCAGATAAAAGCCTTTGGAAACACTTTAAATAAATTTACATTTAATCTCCTAGGCCTGACTTCACACTCAACTGCTCTTTAAGGGAAGCCCATGAGCCAAGGGGCACATTCAGTGTAGACCAGTTTTCAATTCATTTTTTTCATCCATTTGCCTAGGCTTATTTCCCAGCTCTGAGGAGTTTAGCATTTTAATTAACAAAACAGTTGAAAGGACTTGTGCAGATTTTTTAAAAGTCCTTCATGTGGAGAGAAGAAACACCAATTCTGTGGTTGCTTTTGTCATTCACCAAAGAAACTGCCCTAGTTTCCTTTCTTTCTGAAATTCTGGCAAGCATTTTTTTTTTTTTTTTTTTTCACTTAAAACTTCTGTCCACTCTAACTCTACGAAGAGGTCTTTCCCAGGACTGGTAACCCACCCTACTAAGAAAGGTGGGGTTGTGTGGCTAATGGATGCTTCATGTTTTGAAGTTTTGAGGAAAGTTTCTGAGGATTCCAACCCTGATCAAGTCATGGCTTTTTTAAAACGGATGAAATGAATGCTCCTGGGGCCTCCCACTTGGTCTTGGCAAAACAAGCAAGCAAGGAACCAATCATGTCAAACAACCATATAAGTAGATACAGCTTAAACTTTAAAGGCGTAGATATGAGGAACAAGCAGACTTTAAGGAACTTGTTTAAATCACACATCTATTAAGTGACAGACACTGGATTCAGCCTCAGAACTCACCCATCTGACTTCAGACACCAACTCTTTAGCAGGCAGAACTTAATTTCTACTTTCAATGTGTTATTTAGAAACTAGACAATATTACATTGAGAATTTTTTAAAAACCATGGTTCACAGTCCTTTCCCCAGATATTTTGAGTGTCTGCTGCAGGTTCAGATGGTGAGAATGGAAAGGAGCTCCATCCCTAGTCTCAAGTTGCTCATACTCCTTAGCAAAGTCACCATGTTCATTTTTAAGTGCTCCTTTCCAGACCTAGTCTCTGTCTATGTGATTAGTACATATCGTATTTTTTATTCTTTCTTTTAGTTAATAGTATAATCACATACTCATGTTACACGATTATAATGTTAATTTAAAAAATAGAATAAAAAATCATCTGCTCATGTTCGGAGTCCTGCTGTATTGCTGTAGAATAAGCACTGAACTGCTAACTGCAAGGTCAGTGGTTCAAACCCACCAGCTGTTCCTTGGAAGCCTTACTTAGGGTCGTTATGATTTGAAACTGACTCGAAGGCACTTGAACGTATTGCTAAAGTTTTAAACTTATGTTTGTGAGTGGTGATATGTATTTTGAGATTCACTTGGTTCCTTCATGTTTGACCTTTAGTCTCTTATCATCTTTCCCATCACTCTCTGGGGGAGCAACATGATGCACCTGCCTGGATTCCAATCCTGAAATTACCAATTAGTGGGAGAAGAACCATATTTAACTTCTCTTTGCTTCCATTTCTCCACACATAAAAAAATCAATGATAATAATAGCATTTTATATGCAAGGCTGTTGTGAGGATTAGATGTAGTGTAGTAAGCTACTCCTGTTCCTAGCCTAGTACCTGCTAGCATTGCCAATAAAGAGCGATGCAGTAAACCTCAATGCACACAAACAGACTTTGGTGAGATGGACTTCAAAAAGTTAAAAAAAAAAAACTCCTGGAGTAAAATTACAGTGTCTTAAGTTTTTGAACAATTTTGTGAGTTTCAAAATGTATCACCAATTTGCGTTCCAAAGGGGTTATTCAATTTCTTCTCCTTCCAATGTATGAACAAATTTGTCACACCAATTTCTGGCATCAATATTCTCATCATTTAAGTTTTTGTTAATGTATTAGAAAATGGTGTGGGAGCTACACTAAAGCTTGTCTTCTTAGCTGCTTCTTGCTCTTTCCTGTTTACAGTGTTCTGTGAAACTTTGCTACAAGGTAAGGAGGTGCCCTGCAATCTCAGATTTAACCAAGGGGGCTCCACAATGTGGGACTGAAAATCAGATTGCATCAATCCTGAGCTCAGTAATCGTCCACAGAGCAGTGGGAAAGAGCAGCATGGGTCAGGAGTGAATTAGCCCCTCCAAATGCGGGTCTTATTGGGACGATCTTATGCCTATCACTCTGCACTGCCTCACCCAGGGATCCCCCACACTTGCACTGTTGGGGCTTTTCCTTTCCGGATGGTACATCTTCTCCCTGACTTGGCTGACAGGAGCTAGTGGTGCAGGTGGGTGGCATACCGTCTGGGAATAAGTGTGGTCACCTGGGGCTAGGAGCTGGAGCGTAACTACATCCAAACTACTTCCCACAATGTAGGCTGCATTTCTAGAATGTGCCCTTCTTTTCCTCTTTTGCTGCATTTCCCCATCTTCCTTTGCCCATTCTATCTTCCAGGTGAGTGTGTGTGTGTGGCATGTGAACATGATTTTTTTTTGTGTGTGTGTGTGCATTACTATGGGGGTGGGGAAGTGTTGGAAGATGGTATGTCAAGAGGTGAACTGAGTTCAAAACAGAAACATCTTTAATAAGAAAGAACTTTGTTTTGGTATTTCCGTTTTGCTCCCATCCTCTTTAGTTCACAGACCTTTGGCCTCAGCTGTTTCTAGACACCCAGCCCTCTTCATTCATACAGGAAAACCCACCATTTCTCTCTTGACTCAGACAGCAGAGACAGTGGAGCAAGGCAGTATAAAATGGAATGTGGTGCTATGCAAGAAAAAGAGGGCCTGAGGGCTGCAATAACATGGCAAGAGCCCACCCTGAACAAAAGACCAAAATGTAACTTTTTCTAACACTATGCTCACCAGAACATGTCTGCAGTAGGTAGCACATTGCTGCTACCTAATTGGTCACATATCCATAGCCCCACTTGCTTTTTTGGCAAGCTTGTAGGCCAAATGTCAGAGGTGAGGGAGAGGGAATCTTGTTACCCAGGGGCTCCCAGAGCCTACAGAACTGTTGGTGTAAACACGTATTCACTAGGCAATAGTTGAGAATTTCACCATGCCGCTCATATAGTGTAACTGCAGTCAGCTTCTATCTGGTGATTTATCATTTATGGAAATTTGTAAGCCATCTGAGCAACACAAGCTGTAAGCAAGAAATTACAGAAGAAATGTGGCAGACTTCAAGGATAGCAGAGATACAGCAATAATAATAACAATAACAAAAATACACCAGATAAAATTTATTAAACATTTACTGTGTACTAGGCATGGTCCTAAGCACTCTAATCCTCAAACATTAAGAGATGGGTTCTACTATTTATCTTCATCATATAGACAAGGAACTGAGTTTAAGAGATTTGCCTGCAATGGCACAGCTGATAAGCGTCAGAGCTGGTGTTTCGTGTAGCCCAAATCTGACAGCAAAGCCTGAATTATTAGTAATATAATTGTCTAATATGGTAAGCAATTGAGTAGCCTGTCAGCTTGCCCTATTCATTCTTGCATGTCATCTAGTTCAGGGTTTCTGGGGTATCCCCAGAACCTGAAACTGCATCCACTAGGGTAGGGCCCTGGGACACCCAGTGGTAATGGTTCCAAGGCTTGGTGCTCTCGACAGAGGGATCTGAGTGCTTCCAGGAAGAGTTTTCTGAAGGAGGAGGATACAGCATTGTAGAGGACAGGGGTCACTACTGAGCTGACATAGAAAAGCGTATTAGTCACCATGTAGAAGTAGTGATAGAAATCATAGAGTTGCCTGGAAGAGAAAGCCAGAGA